GTCACTAGTGTCACTAGTTCCGAATACTAACTGGTGACAGAACTAGTGACACGTTTGTTATCTTTCTTGGGATTATTAGGCTTCTTTATTTTTTTCTTGATTAGTGTCACTAGTGTCACTAGTAAAAGAATAATAAATTCTAGGAAAAAATCAAAACTTTTCTATGCTATCCCTATAATCTATATGGGATATAATATATTGAATGTATGATATATATGTGGTATATATGCTATAAAAAAATAAAAAAGTTAGAAGATTCAGATTTTTCCAGTGACACTAGTGACACCGGTGACATCCATCAAGAAGACTTTCTTTCGACCTAAGATTCTTAAAGAGCCTATCGTCTACGTCACTAGCTTCTGTCACTAGCTTTTTTTTTCTAATGACACGATCCCTTATCCTGAGTACCTTCGGCTGGGATCTACTAGTGTCATGTTATATCATTTTTATTTACCTCTAAATTACTTACTAGTATTTCTGCTGAAGCTATCTTAGCCAGCTTTTTCTGATGGTACTGTTCCCTTTTACGGTGCTTTCTAGCATGTGGATCGCAAAATCCATATTCAGAATAAGTTCGTTTACCACATTCAATGTAAGGCATATATAAGGGAGAATTCCGATGTATTTAGCACCCTTTTGGATAAAAGCACCCCCGATTACAAACTTTTCTGATCCTAAGAATATATGAACATCGATAAAACGTCATTTTTGATAACTATAAATAGTTCGATTATGTATCGATTTATATATTTCAGAATTAATTTTCATTTTGAACTTTTTTCTCCTGAAGTATATACTTTCTCTCGAATTGTATATTTATTATATAATACTATGATCCAATCTGAGCTTTCAGAGTTCCTCAACATATCTGCCTCATTCTATTATAGGTTTAAAGCTAAAGATACTTTACTAAAAATAGCCAATTTTTTGATATAATTTTAATATGATTTAATAATTGTTTTAAAATGTTTTTATTATATATTGAAACTATATTATCTGGGTTTATAGTTTAATTTCATAACAATTACAAAAAAAATGTAATGATTCTGTAATTATTTTTTTTTATTATTTTAATACAATAGAATCATTTATATAATAAATTTAATATATATTTATAATATCTTTAAAATGCTATTTAATATTTAATTGGTATTTAATTAGCTATACAGCTGTATAACAAAAGATATTATACATATAATATGTGTTAGTTTCATCATGCTTTACATTACTACATATTTTTTGACATTGATGTATAAAGTGAATGTTTGGTTGATAGTCTACCTATTTAATTGCATAAATTCAGCATCATGTTTGATCTGCTAATCATTGAAGTCTGTAACATGGGCAACCTAATTTTGGATCATCAACTTCTAATGGAATAAACCAATCTAACAGTAGAAATGAAATATCAAATTGTCTTTTTGTATGAATAAAAATCGTTTGAATCTGTGCATATAAAACATTGTTCTTATTTCATCATCCTTGTCTTCTGATACATCTTCTAAAATATTCACAATATTACTAACACGAAGAGTTATATCAAGTTGATTATCCTTATTAACTATAGTATAGCTAATACTCTTATAATATTCTACTTTTCGTGAAGTAAGATGTTCAGCACAATTAAGTTCTTCATAATATACGCGTTCAAGTTCAGCAAACAAGTCATCATTAAGAACACTTTCTAGACTAGTAATTTGTAGTTCATTTTTTTTTGTATAATCCTCTAACTCTTATATTAATATAATCTTCATGCAAACATATTATTTTTGAAATAGATGAATCTTTCTCTTCCAATTCTGAATCATTTATTGATGGTGAAATATACCATGAAAAACCAAGCAACTTACATATATATTGATCTTTTGATAACATGTGAAAATTAAATTGTGATTCTGTATCATATCTTTTATCAATACCACCATCCAATAGAAATCGCAATGTTTGTAAACAATTATCATAGTACATAAAGTCCATTTCAATATCTTTTTTGTTGGAATAAGAAGTAACAGCCTTGAATAATCTATGTATCATTTCTTTCATAGAAACTGAAATGTTCACCAAAGTTGCGAAGTTTCGTGCATATATGATAAAATGTTGTAAAATGTAAAAGTTCAGTAATTGACTAATATTAGGAAAAATCTAAATATAATAATTAATAATGCCTAAGCTTTAAGCTAAAATTATACAGAAGGTAATAAAGAAACCATATATTGATTACCTTTGCGACTAATCTGGACCATAATATTATGCTTTGTTGAAGACTATTGTAATCAACTTCAGAGAATTCTTTGCGAAATATCAAAGATGCCATTCAAGAAAAATGTATCTATAATCCTAATAACTAATCCAATATCTTACTTTTCGTAATCAAGCATATTGCAGTCATGTGTTCGGTAAATATTTTATTTAATGTCATAGTGTATAATGCCTAATTAATAAGGAATAATATAATCATGCTCAGGCGAAGATAATCGGAAAAAAAATATGAGCCTAAATGAGTAATTGGATTTTGTTGGTGAGACCAGAATGGAGGAAATTCAAATTTGTACCAGGCATTCAAGAACCTGCTCTTCCCTGCTGGTGATAGTATTTCAAAAGTTGCTTGAAGCATTTCTTTGGCCAGATCACCTATACAATGAAAAGCATCATATAAGCATTGAAGATAACGATCACGCATAACATTGTTGAATATGGATGGTTTCTCTCAGATGCCATATTGCATAGCAATAGCATTATGTTCAAATTGAGTTTGTGCACTTCTTATAGCTAAAAATTGCAATGTAGTTTTTTAATGGTAATGTTCATGTCTTGTAATGTCAAAATCAATTTCGTTTAAGTTATTACGATAAATTATACAACTACAACATCCGTAGTATGCATTGTGATTCTTAATTCTTGTATGTTCATTACCTTTTGACAAGTCACTAGTAATGATGCTTAGTCCACCAGTAACCCATATATGTTGACTACCTATTTCAGTTCATAATCACATTCAAGGTCCTAAATATTATTAGTAATTAATTAGAGTATTTCATCACTTGTAGCTGCAAAAGGGATAAAACCAAAAAGAAAATGGTTTTTAAGCTTTCGATAGAGTTCCTGTTTCATATTACTAATTTGTAAATAGATGCTACTGATGGCATGATATGCTATACAAAATGGACTAAATTTGTCAATATAAATGTCGAGAAAGAATTTAAATATTGGCAAATTATGTGAAGCATCCTAAATATTAATGTATTCAATAGGATGAAGATGTCGTAAATCGATTAGTCTTGTGATCCATTTCACATTTACATAATATACTATTTCATCTATAATATATTGATGTTTGTTAGGCTTTTTAACATCAAACAACTAAATATCTATTTTAGTCCTGATATTTGCAGGATTTATAATAAGTGTCTCATCCATTAACCATAGATATTCTCTATGAAAAGCATTCTTTCTTCGTTGTATTTTTAGTATAGAAGGTAATGAATTAAATTTGATAATTCGTTCGATCTTGATACAATTATTTTGAGATTCATCAACGCGTAAGATCGATATAATCCATCCATAACATATTCGATTATTTGTGTGAGAGTCGTGATATATGATAAAATTACAAAGACTATAGATAACTATATTTATATTAATGATATAATCAATAAATAAACTAGTATGTAGCTTTTAATTAAAATATTGATTATAATATTTACCTTTGTTTATTTTGATACGTGTATTACTAAATAATGGTAATTTATGCCAAAGGTCTCCATGCTATAATTCACACTTATTTTCACAAAACACATCTGGACATAAGTACATGTTCTTACGCAATAATAGATTTGCTAATATGCGACGAAGAATATCTTTTAAAGGAAAAATTAGAGCATGACAGGTGGATTTAGAGGTAGACGATGTATTGCAATTATTGAGAGCAACTGTATAACTTTTAAATGGAAGGAGCGGAAAGCTATTGCGATACTTTTTAATAATTGCAAGTGAAAGCAGAACATCATTCGAATTGAATTCATTATATTTGACGATGTTCGCAAAATCTTTGTATACTTCAAACCTATTTGATGCTTTGTGACCCATAAAAATATTAGAAATATAGTAATGCTTGAAAAATATGATCCTGTATTTCTAGGATAATGATTTTACTTCTCATTACCATTATATTCTCACCCAACAGATTCTTTGTTTATATTTTGATTATTATCATTGCCATTATATTCTTGCCTAACAGATTCTTCATTAGTATCTTGATCATTGTCAAAAATATCATAAAAATCCAATTCATTGTTTATAGCAGATTGATCATTGTCAAAAATATCATTGTTTGAAGAATCATTATTCTCGTTTAGGCACAGTTTTGGTGATTAGATCTTTTTATCTTTATATATATATATCGAGTTTGTTCTTGCACATTCAAGGATTCTGTGATCGGTATAGAGCTAATGTTGGCATTTGTAAAAGATATTATATCACCTAAAATGGTATGAGGTGTTTGGCTTGTGAGATTTTTTATACGTTTAGGTTTACACAGTCAAAAATCATGATCTTGGTATCGTCAGTCAGCTTTAGTCTGCTTTATATTTATCATTTCAAATAAAAAAAGAACATGATTCTTGAATTTATAAAGAAAATTGTTACAGAAAGAAAAATATATACATATATATATATATTGCAGAGAATTTCTTTGTTGACTATAAAAAGTTAAAATAAAAGCTTATAGTTGACGTGATCAGGTTAGCGTTGATTAGATTATAAAATTTAGCTAATGTATTAACTATTTTAACCATGATAAGTAAATTAAATTAGCTTATGCGATAATGCATGATTAATAATTTGTTTTATAAATTTAACTGGAAAATATATTTTAGACAAGAAATATTGTATTTAATAATTTTTTACATAAATAAATATCCAGAATATGTCTGTTAAATAATACTACTAAATTTTCAAATATTAGTTATAAAAATCATTTATATGAGACAAAATTGTTGTTCTTTTCTGTTAAGTTTACCATATGATATTACATAATTTATAAGCTACATGAACCTATGCAAGTAAAGTTTAAATTATTGATACTTTATTATGATGTACATGTATATACAGAAAAACCTTAAATTTTAAACTATAAAAGGCAATATATTTTATTTCATTCTTTGGAAAAATATTTCTTAAACATGTCTTATAAAATAAAAAAAAGCCTGTTGTAAAACATTTCACAACTAGGAGTATAAACGCTATACCCTAAGTTGATTTCGATAATAATAGTATTGATAAGATTCCTTCAATTGCAAATATAACTTCTCTAGAGATATCATCAAACATGATCACTGCAGATTATAAAAAGAAGCCTGTTGTAAAACGTCTCGCAACCAGGAGTATGAGCGCTACATCCTAAGTTGGTTTCAACGATGATGAGTTCTCTTTGACTACAAATATAGATTCTTCAGAGATATCATCAAACATGGTCACTGAATATGTAGGTTTAGAGAGAGGTTTTACACCGAATGTTACAAGCACAAAAAAGAAAATAGTTATATTGCAATATGATAATTATATTATGGTAAATATGATTAAGAAATTAATAATCGTTACAATTTATAGCAAAAAAGGATCTAGATAAACTTAATAATGATATTTTAAGTACTGGATCTTTTACCTTATCAAATAAATGTATAAATCTAGGTGAAGGAAAAGGTATTATTATTAATAATAAAATTATATTTAATGTTTTTTATTACACAATGACAAATCAAATTTATAAAATCATAACAGAACAAGAAGTCAATCAAGAATTAACCACCAAAATTTATAATGTTGAAATTAATAGTATCACAAATGATATTACAAAACGATCGATCTCTTCTACAGATAAACAAGACTTAGAATTTATGATCTCCATCGGTTCTATGGATTCTAATAGCTTGGCATCAATATTTGTCACATTTATTCAAGCAATTAAACTAAGTATACTTTCTTCGAATACGATATATACAACATTTGAAAATCCTCAAAATATTATAGTTTCAGATGATATGACAATTGGTTCTACTATAATAATGCCTTAAATTAATCAAAGCTATAATCATGCTTTTAAGGTATTCTGAGCGTCTTAATTTAGATACTAAAAATGATGTGAATGCTCAATAACCACTATATTTATAGAATCAACTTGCGGGCTTATTTATTAATGAGTTAAAGATTCTGTTTTTTCGTATACATAAACTAACGCTGGAACTGATATTAGCATTAGCTAGAGAGTGTGCAAAACATCTCAAGGTTAACAATATTAATGCTAGTGATACTAAGAAAAAGGGTTGTGAATAATTCTCAACGTGAAGGGTGCGATTGTATGATAAATGTACCGATATGGCCTTTGATTTCTTAGATTGTTACAAGTAAGTAATATTATTATACAGTATTTATTATTTATTATTAAAGTTTTGTTTTTCTTTCAATATATTAATTAAATGAGTATTTACATATAGTATGGATTTAAACAATCTTCCAAAATTATCTCACCTTTACAATTTCATGAATGAGGATGATATTATCAATATCTTCGAATCACAACTAAAATAAGTCAAAAGGGACCATTTGTTTGAAAATCAAACGTTTTTAAATATGCTAAAAACTTACCTAGCAGAAGTCATATTAATCATGGTCTGTCACTTTATTCAGAAAAATATTGATAAAATTATATATACTAGTACTACGAAAACCAAATGAATGGAATAGCGAAATGTTATATTAACCAACTTACATATGCTTAATTGTATTATATTTGATTTAAATATTATTTCTGAAAGTGAAGTAACATTAGCACAAGACATCAATATTCGTAGTTATATGAATTGGTAAAATTGCATATATAAAATATTTCATTGCAATTTTATTATTCAATAATTGGTGGTATTTTATAATTATTACAAAAGTATTTCAATTTGCATATTTTCAGTACTTCAGAAATAAAGGTTCTGTAATATTTATATAATAGATTTGTAAACCATTGCTAAATATATTACAAAATATTTAAAAAAATTTCAGCATTTACAAAATAATGTTACTTTTACATAAATATTATAAAAGTATTACAAAAGCATTAAAAAACATTTACAATGAATTGACCATTTTTAGTAAAGTATAGGTTAATACCTATATAAAATTCATGATAATAATATTAGACTGAGAAATTTCCTTAGTACGAACAATGAAAACAAAATAGAGACTATACTCTTAAATCATAAAAGATATTCCTTACATGAATTTATTGATAGTGATAAGACACTTCATCCTATCATTGACTTTGATTTACCAGTAGAGATGTATAATAGCATTGAACTTAAGCTTATGCGTAAAGAGATACTAGATACACTTAATTGTGCCTTTAGAGATATCTGTCTTAAATTATTCACAAAGTGAAATAGAAATAGTATTACTGTTGCAAATAATAGTAACGTAAAAAAATATTCCTCCACATTTTTACTACTAGTATAAGACTTAAAAACATCACTCAGGTCACAGTATTCACTAAGCTTGTTCAAAAGAAACTTTCAGTGTCTCTTTAGGGGAATAGTATTATAGATAATATTGTAAATAAATGTTCATTTTTTTTGTGAATGCTTAGTTCACCTAAGTACGATGAAAAACAAAGGAGCATATTCGTGTGAAAAAAGCAATGCATCCAAAATATGAAACCATTTTTGACTTCATGATTCATCTGCCAAATGATAAATCAGAAATTGCAAAAGTCCTCTCTTAGTTATTTCAAAATTAGAAGCCAAAGGGTGTAATGATACTAATAGCGAAACAACTTAGATGGAATTTGATTTTGTGAAAACATTACTCAGAGATAATTATGTCAAAGGGTATACTCTCTCACCCCCTCAGATAACATTCCAGACTTATATTCATTAACTTACAACTCCCTATCACACTGTCCATTATGTGATTAGAAGCATAATAGTGAAAATACCTATATTATACAAAAAAATAAAACATATAGATTTTATTACCACTGTGCCAATCAGGATCAGGAACCTGAAATGCAAAATCTCTCACTAAAGCTTACCATTAGTGAAACTATCTCAAATAGAGAGAAAAAGCTTTCAAGTCCTACAAAATTAGACTAATCTAGAATTTCAGATCTCACTGATCACTTCGTATAAGTAATCTATTATGTATGTGTATCTTAGGTAAAAAATTCTCTCGCATTGATGTATATGAGGCAATTTAAGCAACTATTGTCTGTGTTCAAAAGAAAATGAAAACATGGATTCTCAAATATAGGAATCCAAATAGTAGGCTTATGTTTGATATAGGACCTAAACTAGATATTGCAAATTTTACGATTAAAATAACAAAACTAGAGGATAAGGCGATAAAATTAACATCTTTGATCAATCATGCTAGACTAGTAGTGCAATACATTATGATGATGTTAATTTTCTTTCATATTCTCCAAATAATAATCCATTAAAGACTGAATTTTTTAATCTTTTCTTGGGATTCAAGGCCAAGTCAGCTCTCCAGATTAATTATGACCTAGTGAATCTAATTCTTTGACATATAAAACACATTCTAAGCAATAGTGATAAAAAGCTTGTTAAATATTTTATTTAGTGGATCTGATTTTTAATTTTTCATCTAATAGTAATTTTAGAAGCTATTCTTATTTTACATTTTCCCTATAATATAAAAGAATATTTTTACAGATTTTATTTGAAAAAGCTTATTTGATTCAGAGCTCATTTACTCAACTTCTGATTTTTGAAAAATTCTTAGAAAATTCAACAGCCTTATTTAAGAACACAAGCTTATAATTATGAATGAAACAGGAATAGTCAGTGACGAATAGCATAAAGTAAATGACTATTTAAAGTCCCTTATTATAGAAAATTACGCCTCAATTAAGCGTAAAGACCTTGAATCCCAAGAGTATAGTTATTATCCTAGTTTCATAATTCTAAGCAATCACTATTCACTAATATGGGTAGAAGAAGGAGATAACTGTATTGTATATTTAGATGTTTCTGCTAGATGTAAAGGTAATTTTCAATATTTCAAAAGATTAGGTGAAATTCTTGATCATCTGGATACCCTAAGATTATTCATAGCATATTTACTTAGTCTTAATATTCCAAAAGATTAGCATACGCGTAATTTACTAGTAACTAAAATGAAAACAGAGATAATATGAAACTAGCTTCCCAATCTCATTTGATTTATGATTGATCATATTTTCTCATGGAGTGAGGAATAAATAGCTAAGCCAAGTTGTATATTATTATACCAGAACTATGTTAAATAGTGTGAAGGGAATGGTGAAAAGCCATTTTCTAATAACATTTTTAATAAAAAATTCTTATGGATTAATATCGAATGTAAGAGGGCAAGTAGTAGAAAAGAGAATGGCAGTATATTCTTGACTACTCTAAGATCATAGTTAAGATACATAAAACAGTAGACAATATCGAAGAATTTTCTGATATACCTTAAGATGAGTTTCTGGCTAATAAGGTCACAGACATATTCATATTCAATGTATCAGAAAAAGCGGTCACTTTAGTGACTCTAACTATTCCTCAGAAAATAATCCTGTTTCAACCAGAAGAGAATCTCTCTCTAAAGGATAAGAAAGTAGATAAACAGGACAAATGTAATTCAAGCTCTTTCGATTATTTAGCAGAATAAGCAGAAGTTCCAATCATCTTAGCATCTGGGATATCTGAGACTTCTAAAATACTTGAGTCAGTAATTGATGAACCTGAGACTAGTAAGCTTTCTGATTCTTCTAAGCCTATCAATAAATTATCATCTGCCATACTTCTGTCAAGAGTCCAGTGAGAAGAGTGTCTCAGAAAAAAGCAGTTAAACTTAGAGAGGATTCAGATGTCTTCGTGACTATTACAGAAAAAGATAGGCTCAATTCTATTATATTCTGCAATAGAATGGAAACTGATTCACGAATGTGTGAATATGCAAAAGAGATAGAAGAAGACCTCAAAGAACATGTGGATATAACAGTACGAGAAAGATTAATAGGAGAAGAAATAATCTGTCATTTTCTCAAAAATGACAGAATTGCAATCTTATGGCTTAATACCGATAAGGAATAGCAAAAAAATATAAGCATACTTTAGAAGAATGGTATGCTCTAGTAAAGAATAAATAAGAAGTCAGTCAATAGATTATTTGTAAGAATAGGACTTTTTGTTCTTTATAACAAGATAATATAAAATCTCAAATTATTATTTTTTTTGCTTATACTATCTACCTGCAAATTTCAAATTAATGTAAATCCTTTTCTGGTCAGAGCATACTCCTTTGGCCTCTATTATTTTTTACTGATTATAAGTGAGATCCGTATATAGAGAATTATCAGAATATTTTTTCTGAATTGAACTTTTCAGATATAAAATAACTTAAGGATTGCATATAATCTAGTAGTTACTTCACAAGCTATATCTACATAACCATGTTCGCAATTGTAACAAAGTACGTTGCAGACCACAAACTCAGTAAAGATATGAGTAATGAAGAACTTAGTTAGCATACTCTAGCATTACTTGAGCTTTTGACAGATAAACTAAAAAGAGACAAGGGTCGACAGCGCTTTCAAAAAAGGTATAATTTTAGCAAAGAACAGGTGTTTATATTAGTTCCTGATCAAAGAATTTGTCAAAGTAGAAGTTAAGTAACTTCTCAAATAGGAGAGACAAAAGTGGGAAAGTAAATCTATGCCAAATGTCTAAGCTTATTCCAGAAGGAAAAACTGTCAAAAGGATAGCTCAACAAATTATCCAGGATAATTTTAACAAAAAAGATATAGAATATATAGTAAAAACCTTAGCTGAATCTGCTTCTAATGCTAGTGCTGGTTCATCCCAAATTTCTAGACTTTGAAGAAAGTTGTGAATCCTTAATGTTTCAGAAAAAATTGTCTTAGCTACATTGATTTTAGAGATAACCCGTTCAGCTAATAAAATTTAAAAGAAGCATAGTGAATAACGTAAAAATGAAGGGATCAATTTTCCTGACTATTTCTCACTAGAATCAGTTAAGGAAA